CCCCAAAACCCCAAAACCCCAAAACCCCTTATTCAGAACATTCTGTTGAATGGTTCGAATAATTAGGAGTCTTATAAGCGGGAAGGGAAAATGCCTATAATCATCTATATGGTCAACCTAATGGCTGAGCCTAATAACAAGCAGTCTTATCTCAATCTAAATTTAAGACCTATATAAAATGTGAGCATATTCGAGAAATTAAGCAAATAAGGGAAGGAATTCCTTAGTATCAAAGTGGCTTACATGCCTCCTTCTTGGTTCCAGGAAGCAATCATTGCTCTTCTCTCCTCACTAGTCTGTTCTCTCTGAGGAGGTTCAGCTTCTTGCTTTGGCTCTCTGAGACCTGAAGCTTCGGGTCTAGATTCATTATCTTTACCTCTATTATATCCATCATCAGGTGCTCTTTCTTCTTCCTCCTCCTTCTTTCTACGTTCAGCATACTGAGGATAAGCTTTATACATATATTTGAAAAGAGCTTTTTTAAAAGGCTTTGAGACGTACTTCAGATGCATGAAGTTGCAGTAGCCTCCTCTATCACAGTTGCCTTCCTTGTACTGTCTACACTTGGCTTCTCTAAAATCGGTAACTGGGCAATATTCTCCATAGATAATTCTACCGGAGTAGTACTTTCCATTAAGGTCTTCGAGGCACATCTTTGCTTCAGTTTCGGAATGGAACTTTACATAAGTGTTTCCAATAATATGGTCGCCTATATTATCACAAACATGGATCTCTTCGACTTCTCCGTACTGGATGAACTGGAGGAAGACGTCTTCGTAAAATTCCTCAAAGTGATTCACAGCTTCTTCTAGAGAATTATCTTGTACTTCCATTCCATCTGCAAAAGCTACAGCTGAAGGAGGGTTATCATAAAGGTGGAAGAACATTACTGTCTGCGAAAGGATTGGCTTGTTATGAAGTCTAGTACAGGTATCACCATGTCTGCATGCTCCTATCTTAAAGTAGAAAGGACAATTAACTTTATCCTCTTCTGTTCCAAAGATTCTAGCTAATTTATCAGCCATATTTAATGATTATAGCTAATTTTCTAGATTCTAAATACCGAAAGGGGTTTTGGGGTTTTGGGGTTTTGGGGTTTTGGGGTTTTGGGG